TGATTTTTTTTTTCAAAAAGAGTACAGTAAGCAAGTCACTTTTTTTAAAACGACTGCCGATGACACACGGGTTTATGAGTTTGTCATGCAAACAAATTAACAATCATTGGAACGATGGAAAAAAAAACGAGTCGAAACTAAACAAACCACGCCAAAGCGGCTCAATATGAAGTGGTGCTCATTGTTTTTTCGATATTCCTAATTTGGTGCATCACGATCAATCGGTTAATAGGGATATCTCTTTGGCCATATTGAAGCATTTGCTTGAGAACATCCGTCGAAAGTGGGCGGAATTGTGAAGGAACAATTTATGGATTATACCCGATGATATTGTACCATCGCAATGATTAAATTTTATATTTCACCAATCAGATATATTTATCAAAAACATGTTATTTATTTTTTAATATTAATATTGCTGAGAAAACAAATAATAAGTAAGCAGACAGTATTGAAATTTTTTATTGAAAAATTTAAAACATTAAATGTAATAAAAATTTTAAAATTAAATTTTTATGAATTTTAAGTCATATTATTTTCATTTTTATTATTTTCAATAAAAAATTATCAACCTATGCTTGCCATTTGACAATTTTTTTTAATATGAATGATGTACATAAATACGAAAAATTGTTTAATTAAAAACAATTTCAATTTTTTTTTTAGTTTTTATATGCTTGGGAACAATATTTTTTTCGTCCCGTATTTGGGATCAAGAATTAATAACAAGCTTTTTATCCGATTTGTGGGATAGAATTTTTTTATATTTCAATCTTCTTTTTTATTTGTTAGTCCTGTAAAAATTTTGATTCAAATATTAATTAAATAATTTTCTAATGAATTATATGCAACCCTGGCAGCAGGTGACAATGGAATTATACATGTATTAAATAAAGTAGGAAATGTAGTAGTCATCTGGAATCTAATCTCTTGATTTATCAGCGGGTATTTAGGAATGAAAATTAAATGGTCATCTTAAGCAGCTCTGAACTTTTACAATAATTTCAAGAAATCCATAAATTTTCGACTGTGGATTATATTATTATAATACACGATACTTATTTGGTTATACTCGTTTTTGTTGAAACTCAATTGATTTACCACTAACTCTATATGTTCTATCGCCATTTGATTCTTAAATAAATAATTATAGTACATTTTTTTCAATTACATTTAATTAATTTTAATTAATTCCGCTATATTATTATATACAAATGTACTTAGTTTTTTTTCTGTATACACAGGAACCGGAAGGTACTTCAGACTCTAAATGTCTGTTTTTTATTTTATACAAACTTAATCAGCATTTAATAGTTTGGTATGAAAATAAAATTAACAACTACTAGCTTCCAATGCTTGCTACATCCATCGCTTCAAACATCGCTCTTACATATTTTGAAACTCATACCCAAAGTCAGAGCGTGCCTATTTACTTGAACAGTCGCCTCACTGTTAATTATTTCACAAATAAATCCTTTAAAGTAGAACAGAGCGACGCCTCGCAGGTGTCCTTTGAGTCATCCTCGTCCGCCTTACCGAACCAATTTAGTGTCGAACGTACTGCATTCGTTGCCTGACTTTGCGCGCTTCGACCGCTACGTTTACCTGAGTCTTTACTTAATAGACCACTCGATTTTGTGTTACTAGTCTTTGGTGAGCTACCCGAACTACCGGAAGGTCCTGATACTGATCCTTTCCGTAGGAAGCCCTCAATTGCCGAACCAATCACAGTCGCGTCCACAATTGTACCTTTTGTCGTATCCGCCCAACTTTTTTGCTTGCTCCGTGGCACCAACTTCGGTTTGCTCTCACGTAACACATCTTTTGCTTGCAAACGTTTTAACATATCTTCGGAGAGTGCCATAGCAGTACTTTTGCTACGTATGCTCTTCTTGCGTGCCATCGGTTGATGGCGTTTCTCAAACCAACCGGAAAGAGCGGCTGAGCTATTGTCTTGTGCATTGCTTACCAACTGTTTGGCATTGTTGAGAATGGATACATCGAAACTGTTCGAACGCGTAGAGCGACCCGCATTGGGGTCGAGCAGATTTGATGAAGAACTACTGGTGGCTGCAGCACCACCTGTCGCTGTTAAGCCGCCACTTGTTGTTGGTTTTGTTTTAGCGGTGGCACCAGTTGAGCTAGCGCTCGTAGACGACGGCAAAACTACTGTCGGTATTGTGTCCTCACATTTATTGATCTCGATGGCTGACGAGGTGAGTGCGCTAAAAATGGAAGTGCCTAGCAGACCGCCACTCTTCTTACGTTTTGTAGAGGCACGATTGCTACCCGGTTGTAAAATGCATGGTGAAATGATTGCTGGGTGTTCGGAAGCGCGTCTCATGTTTGGTGCTGGTGAGGTGCCACCGGACACACTTTCCGAATAACGGCGATTTGTATATCGCTGCGGTGTTCCACCACCGACCTCATCTAGTGTTTGCACTTCGCAAACCTTTTCGCTGCTTGTATTCCACAGTTTCATGCGTGCCTTACGTGATTGTACTATGTCGTCCATTATGTCTAATTGTAGATTGTGTATGCTGCCAATAGGATCTGTGGATGGTGGTCCAGTTGAGGTTTTACTTTCGCGGCGAGAGTTCAGTACTCGGCTGGTGAGATGGAAAAAAGGTTGAACAGTTAAATTATAGTGGCACATGTACACTACATAACAAACAAGCAACCCCCTTCCCCAACTCACCTGCTACCTGCTGGATAAGCGGCAACTGATTCACGGCGTGAGCGACCAAACAATGTTGTTGGCACTTTAGAGATGGTTACCACAGAGTGACGTCGACCGGATGGTGCTGGTGCCTGTGATAATGTGGCTAGGAAAGCGGCTTCTTTAGGTGATGGGCCGGAGCCTTCACCACCACGCTCTGATAAACGCCGCACCTGACTTGCAGTGATACCCTCAGTGACCTGTTGTGAGGGCAAAGAATGCTTGCGGCCTTCTCGCGGATCTCGCCATGGTGAGAGTAAATAAGGATTTACGGGTGAGTCAATGTCCAAACTAGCTTTATTCGATGGTGTTTCTGAGCTATCGCGATCTTCCTCTTCGACCAACTGTGACTCCTCGACCACAATAAGTGGTTCCTGCTTTCCTACAGACCCAAAACGGGAAAACGATGAACGGCGCATACGGAATGTGTCTGAAAAGTAGGAATGTAAAGAAGACTTTGTTAAAGTAAATGCTTAGAAAGGATGTAGGGTCTAATTAACCGTGTAATTCTAAAAAAATGAATTATTAATTTGAATTAAAATGAGTTATTATTTTGCAAATTTCAAGACCTCGAACACTAACCTAATAATATGTAAATGATCAGGTCAGGTCAACGAGTTGAATTTCGGGTCACTAGCGTTCGTTTGTCTGTTGGTGCAAGCTGTTATGTTATGTTAACACTCAAGTAAAAATGGAGACATTTTGATAGAACTTGGCTACTGCGTTGACTGCTTTTGTATATAATCAAATTCAGACCAAGATAAAAATTATAGAATAAACGGGAAAAAATGTACATATTTTATTAATATTAAGGTTTGGTGGCAATTTTATCCCTTGTCACATACAATATTCTGGCATATAAACATTTAACCCGAATTCATCGGGCGACTAACGAAAAACCAAAATGTATAGAATTTTCGAGCCCGTCAACCAGGCGCAAAGAAGTGACTAGCAAGTTGATGCCGAAAGGTTTTCTCGAATATCTTCGAAAACAGTGAAAGAAATAATTCGAAACTTTCTTATTCGAAGGGTTTTACTGAAAAGCAAACAGTTCTTCTCAATATTTTGATACCCGATGGCTGGAAAGTTGTTTTGAACATTCCTGTGTCTAATACCATTTCTATCAGTCAGTTCAGAATGATGCTTAGCTGGCTGACAACCGGAAATGAAAATATATTTATAAATAGTACACATCTTTCCCCTTGTCATATACAATATTTCCGCATATACAAGTACTTTTCCCCATACACCCTAATATTCAATAAATTTTGGGAATTTTGGGAAATAGGAAATTTATGATCTTCGGGTAGGAGGTATGCAAAAAAAATGTATACTGTTATAATCTTAAAGCGATGGGTCTTACTAGGTTGGGTTTAGGACTTATTTAAAAAAACTTACTTGGTGTTATTGAAAAATCGAATTACGGAAGAATATTAAAATTTCTGTCCCGCCTGTTTTGGTCAGATCACAAATTTTTACGCAAAAAAAAAAAAAAATAAAAATAAATAAATAAATAAATAGCTCTAGCGAAGGGCCAGGCATAGGAATTTTTGAAAAAAACTTTCCGTTTACCGGGTTTCATGATATTGAGCAAGATATTTTTAGTGTTCCGTAAAAATCATCGAATCACATAGAAAACTTAATATTTTTGAGTCACTTGTTATAGCCAGAATAAAACCTTAGAAGCAGAAGGATAGACCAAGCGATAGCACATGCTATTAAATCTTTAGGAAGATATTTCCCTCGGAAATCGTTGAAATTTTGCACATTTTGATATTTCGTTAGTCGCGGGAATGTTGCATATAGCAGCGGGTAAACATGGATTATTCTAAAATTGTTGATCACGTTAGAATTTCTTATGCAGAGAGATTTTGAAAACCACTTTCCGATCACCTATTTCGTCCATATTGGATAATTTGGTGATGGACAAAAGTAGTAGAATTTTTGCATTAATGTGGCCTAAGCTTTAAGATAAGATGATGTGTCACACCGTTTTCGTATGCACGGTTATCGATGTTAAAGCGTTTTAGATGTTGGCAATGGCGGTGTGCTATAAGGCAAATGGCAATAATGCAAATTTGTGTTATTTCCCACTTGATTGTGAAATAAAGCAAATTTGCAATATTTCCTTCTATGTTGAGCAATAACACAAACTAATAAATTTGACAATTGAGCAATAAAGCAAAACACTGCACATGGCAACCCACATGCGTTTGATAAAATTATATGCAGCTGGTAAGCAGTAAGTTCGAAGAACATCTGTTCTAATAGGTAATTTAGCCACGTGTTTCTTATAAGACAAGAACAGAATATATCGGTCAATTGAAAATTTAGTGATTATTGCGAAATGGAGGAGGAAAATATTTTGGAATACAAAGTAATAGCTGGTTTGAGGAGAACCAGCAAACTTCTGTATGTTTGAAAAGAGGAGCAAATATATAGATTCGAAACAAGCAAATGCGGCATTAAATATTACTATTGCTACAACAAAAATTGCATAATTGGTGTGGCAGTTGATTTTAGTAACACTAAATACTGTCGCAAGATTGGTAAATTAGATGCCCATCAGCATGGTCCACAAACTGAATTATTAAAAAAATTAGAAGCAATAAATAATATTAAAAAGGAAGTGGAAGAAGCTCCATTAAGACGAACATGCCTGCGTGAAATTTTTGATAACAGTTGTAAAAAATTTAAAGAAGCGTCGCACTCATTACAATATGGTAATTAACGAAGACAGTTATTTAATATTAAACAAAAAACATTTCCAAAAACGCCAATGGATTTTGAAGAAATCATTAAAGTATTAGGAAATGAAAAAGTTTATAAGCAGTTTGGGATTTTGCGTTTTGAGAAGGATGAGAGCACTTTCTATATTGATACAGTGATCACAACCAATTTTTCCTATTCCATATTTGTGTCACCTACAATTACGAATTCTTTGCGTTCCAAAAACTTATCTGAGCCTCGTACCTATATAATCGATGCGACATTTAATGTAATTCCTGTATCGAAGCAATTTAAACAGCTTCTCATTATTCACATCATCCTTGCCGACCATGTAAGTAATCTATGTGTAGCTATTGCGTAAAAAAATATAATTATTTATTTTTGCTTCTAGGCTCATCCTTTTATATACGCTTTAATGTCTAAAAAGTCGCAGGAAACATATACACATCTTTTTCAATATATCAAGTYAAACATTCTAGACTTGCATCCTCACACTGTCGTCAGTGGTTTTGAAATAAGTATGCGCAATGCATTTAAAATTGTCTTTCCAACTTCAAAAATGGTTGGATTCTGGTTTCATTTTACATTTTTACGCTTTACGGCGAAAAGCGTCAAAATTACCGAATTTTGTCAATAAACTCAACAAAGATAAAGACGCCAAACGAGTATTTCACAAATTCCTTTATTTACCGTTATTGAAACGAACAGATGTGACAAAAGCTTACAAAATTTTAATAACCGAAGCAATGCATTACTTCAAACCGTTTATAAAATATTTCAATTCCCAGTGGTGGAAAAAGGTATTGCAATACATATCTAATTCTAACTACGTATTTTGAATAGCGTTTTCTTTATATTAATTAAAGGTAAAGCCCGTCAACTTTTCAGTTTATAAAGAACCAATTAGAACGACTAACTCTGCGGAAGGTTTGGTTTACACAGCCGGCTCAATATGAAAATAACCAAACATGGAAATTTTTACAAATTTTTAGAAATGTTGTGTGACCTTGATGAAGTGAAATCAACTGATTATATGAAATCAATATCAGGTTTAGTTTCATTATGTAAGAAAAAATCATCTTGCCTCTTTCAAAAACGCGATATATTGATAAAACAACATTTAAATCTCTTGAAAATGAAAAAAATGTCTTTAAATGAAATTTTAATTCGAACATGAACAATATAACGGGTTGTAAAGATTTTTTAAACGAAATCGACAGTTCAGATAGCGAGGCAAGTGATGACGATGAAAATGCCGAAAATTTAAGCGAAGATGAAACTCGAAACCGTGCTCTTTGCGTTATATGCTTCGAACGAGAACGCAACTTTTGTTTGTCCCGTGCAAACATTTTAAAGTTTGCCAACAATGTTTTGGAAATATGAAGCAGCATGCAAATGATCACCATATAAAATCGTTATGTCCAATTTGCCGAGCAGTTATAAGAGACTCCTTTCAAATATACGGTTAGACTTTTCTGTTAATGTTTAATAAAATAAAGATATGGTTACTTAATATTTCACAATTTATTCGATATAACTATTTAAAATTAAAAATGTGAGTATATCAGGATAGTTTGGCGGGTCTGTGATTAGTCTCCTTCGCGCCCCGCCGTCCGCGCCGATCCCCCTCTGCCTCCCCCCCGCCCAAGAATTATATTGTTCCATAACTACTAAAGTTAACACACTTGCGAATTGCCTGTTCAAGTACTATTAAAAGTAATGAATGGGAAATAATACAAAATTTGCTTTATTACCAACTGAGGTTGGAAAAAAGGCAAATTCAAAATTTTTGTGCTATTTCTCAATTAAAAGTGAAATAAAGCAAATTTTGCCTTATTGCCGTTTGCCTTATAGCACCCCGCCGTTTGCAATAAATAGTGAGTGAACATATGGTATTTCTCATGTTAACTAAATATGATGTTGTCCCAGTCGTGTGGAACACTGAGACTGTTCCAAAGTGGTGGTAGGTGAATGGACGATACTAATAAGTATGCCGTATGTATGTGCATGATCTACTGCTGCTACTATTCTCAAATACTGTTTCTAGAAATAAAAATTTTCTCTCTTTTTTTTCTAAATATCCACCTCAGTGGCAAGTTTAATAAAGTTATTGTTAGAAAAGTTGTTCTTTTAGATAGGTTGACCGTCTCTTTGTTCTAAGTATAATATAGTATGTGGTATTTTATACTCAATTACAATTTAATTCCTAAAATAACTTAATGGAAAACTTTTCTAAATGTTATTTTAGAAGAAAAAAATAAAAAATAAAATAGACGCTCACCCATTGTGATAAACCTATAGTATCCTTATATACTCCAGCTTAATCTGAAAATAAAACGAAAATATAATTTACATTAAGATTTTCTTATACATTTGAAAAAATAGTTTTAGAAGTTTAAGAGAAAATATGCTTTTTAATATCCAAAATATTTTCCTTTGATAGTTTATTTTATAAAACTTGCAAATGTTGCAGTTGGAAAACTACAATTCTGAAGACGATTTAGCTATAAGTAAAAAGTTTTCAAAAAATGGTAAGACATTTTAATTTCGTACGAAATCCCCTTCGTCGACATATTTTTTTCTAGGTTGGTTTGTGCCGAATATCACATCATAATAGTAATTAACGTTTAGTATACGCTTGTCTTTTTGAAGTAGATAAATTGCATTCGGCGATTTTTACGATGCGTGAGTTTATTCAACAAATAAGTTCCATTAAATTTTGTGTGCATATATAAATTTCTAGTGTCTAAATGCTCAGGGTGGTGGAAAAGGCCTTCGGTGATAATGGTTTGACGCGAGCAAGTGTTTTCTATTGTTACAAATTATTCAAAGATGGTTGAGAATGCGTTAACGATGAACCACGTTCAGGACGGCCATCAACGTCAACTGATGATGAGCACGGCAATAAAATAAAGGAATGTTGAGAATCGACGATTAACAGATATTTTATTGGGATCGTCGGAAGTATCAGTAAAAAACATTTTGAAAGATCATTTGGGCCTAAGAAAAGTAAGAGCACGATTGGTTTCAAAATCAGTTAACTTTTTCGGAAGACAGCGTCGCGGTAACGTCTTTGAAACAATGCCCTCCAACTACCAGGATGTTATGAAACGTATTATTACTCTCGGTGAGTCTTGAATATCTGCTTGAGGCCGGGAAACAGAGGATCAATCGATCGAATATCGCGGCAAAGGTGAGCCGAAGTCGGAGTTTTCTTTGATTATGGAGGTGCACTGCACTTCGAATTCCTTCTGATTGGCCAACCTGTCAACAAGGGATACTATTTGAGTGTTATGCGTAGTAGGCGCGAAGCTATTCGAAAAAAGAGGGTGGAATTGTGGACAATTTTTGATTTTTGCACCACGATAAAGCACCGTCGCATACTGCTTTGAATTTTCGTTAAATTTTTAACCAATATCTTGCCGTAACTGCCATGTGACTACTGGCTTTAAACAAACCCAAACGACCGCTCCTGGAAAACCATTTTGTGTCAGTTGAAGACATCACACGTGAATCGCTACGCGCATTGAAAAATCTTGAGTTAATTTTCAAAAACTTGTTATGAATAATTCATATTTTTTCACTTTGCTATTAGAATAATCTCCTTTAGTTTTATATATAATATAAAATATAAGTATAATATAAAATATACCACGGAATTTAAGTGTACAAGTTAACAAGCATGAACCCGTTACTAAAGCAACACAACAGTTTCCGACTAACTAATTAAAATCCACTTGCAACCCACGTACTACTGAAGGCAATTACCGCTCTGTCACTTGTTGTTAACTAACATTTAATGAAGTAAATTTCGCTTGCAGCTCGGCAACACGCATCGCAATGTGGAGCGCAATTTCGTCAATTTGGTAAGAATCCAGTTTTCGCAAGCAAAGCAAATTTGGCATGCAACGAGTACAAATTTTGAGGTCTGGCTCACATAAGTAAATAGTCAAAATGTACATATAAATCTGCTCATATTACTGCCCACTGATATGTATGGAGTATATATTTTAGGGTGGGTAAAAGAAACTAATTATTTTTTTCGCTGGTACCTTGAAAGATAGGTTCGTATATACCTCTAAAAATAGTTTGAGCTCTTAATTGCAACGGGACGGTCCGCGGTGTACTGATTCTTATTATACTCTTGCAACCAGTTGCCAAAGTGTATACTAATTTTTATCACCAAACGCTTGTAAAATGTACAAAAAAACTAAACACTGTAAGGCGGAGAATTTTCCCGAGAAATGAGAAAAATAAGAGCCCATATTTGGAGAGAGCGAAAAGAATTCGAATTTTTTACCCACCCTAATATATGGCATATTATTTAATATGTAGGTGCTCCAGTGTCAGTGGGCATGCAAGCAGAAGCTTAAGAGTAATAGAGAGATGTGCAAATTATATTAAAAGCTGTGAACACGGTATCAAGGAGGTATAAGTATTTACTGCTTTTATGGAACAGATTGGCAAGCAAGTTAACTGACTTGTTCAATAATAACAACAACTGACTTTTTACAGTCTTAATTAAATTTAGTTTAAAAATGTTTATTTAAATAAAACAGAAAAAAAGTGATAACAAGTAAGAAAGGGTATAACCGAACATTTTATACTCTTGTTACCTGCTACGATTAAAGGTACACAAGATTGGTTAGCTAAAACAAAAGATTAAACCAGTTTAGCTGCAGATTATTGCAGAAGAAATCCAAAATTCGAACCCTAGAAACAAAGGAAAAATAACTGTACAAATTCTCCATTTTATCAGAAAGTAAACGAAGCATATTGCAAATTGGTTGTTAAACAATTTGAGAAGATATTGAGAAAGTGTCAATAAGGGTTCGAGCGCTATCATCAATGATATCGTCCTCCTCGTTACCGACAAACTTTCATTCTCAAAGTAGCTTCTTTCAGTTAAATGTCTCTCTGACATTCGCATACTCCCTTACAAAATGTATGTCCTTCGTTTATATTTCCCGCCTTATATCTGTTTTGTCTGCACTTAATGTCAAATGTAGCAGACTTTAATGACAAATTATAGAATTGTGTTGATGCCTACACATGTGCCCACCAACACTGTGTAGCTCACTTTCTGGTGAACCGGCTAAACCGGTAATATGCTGGTTCTCTACCCGTATTGTTTATCTCCAGTGTTTTCGACTTTTTGCCTGCGACAGCAATAGCGCACATTCATCACACACCAGCATGGTGTAATTAGTGGCAAGCAGCAACTGCTGGCCGTCATCATAACTCACATTTTTATGGCTGCATGTCAGACTTGAAAAAAAAGCGCAATTTTCACCAAAGCGAAGGAGAGAAGATGAAGTTGTAAATGAAAAGTAGTTTGCTCCAAACATTCCAAACAAAAGTTCTCAATAACGTCAGGTGTTGGTAATGTGCGAATGAGTTACTTATCAATCAACTTAGCAAATTAGTTAATTATGTAATAAAGAGTGATTCCAGTAGAGGTAATTTTTCAGTATTGTTTGGCATTTTATCATAAAAAGACTAAGCCCTGAACAACGTTTACAAATCGGTCCAACTTCACAAAATAAATCAATGTACGCCAAGTTTTGAGAATCTTTCGAGAACTTCTTCTGCAGAGGCTTCAATGTCAGGATGCGTGTGCAGCAAAGCCAGGCCGATGAAACTTGAAGCATGTTTGACCTCAGCCACGTTTTCCGTCGGCGATGTGTTGAAAAACGGTGTTCAGAGCTCGCATTCGTCACAGGAAGTTCGCAGAATAAATGAAGAAAACTATGAATTATGGGATATAGGTCTACATGGCATTTCTTCAACGTTACCATTGCAGTAGTCGATGACTTGTTGCCTTTTGACTTTTGCTTTGCCCCCCTTGGCACTGCCAGTGATCAAGTTGACCTTTGAGCTTCAAACGTCGCATGATGTTGTCATTATCCAAAATGCCTTTGAATCTATCTATCTATCCGATTCTTTAGTTTTCAAAGCACACTCTTTTTCTAGAAGCAGCAAACTGAGTTGAAATCCATCCAATATTTCTCTAGAAAATCGCGTCTCCAAATCTTGGCCGATTGTATCCAACAGAGGTATTTACACTGAGACCATTTAGTATTCTTCGCAAGCTCTCTCGCAGAAATTTTCGTGTTTTGTTTTTCGGCTACAGATTTTTGGCTTTCCTGCGCCAACTTTCAGTTCTGCTGCAATTTTTTCTTGCGGGGGTAAATTTCCACCATTTCCAACCTATAATACCTTTAGCAAGTACAAAATCTTTTTCACAATAATTTTATTTAGCTTGAGCAGTTTGTATTGCAGCTATTTGCTTAAATGAACCAATCTAAATGTTTTTTCGCAGATTCCTTGAGGGTATGTCGCCAAATCAAAAAGTTTTTCAATCAAGCACATAGTTCTACAACACCACTAGAATATTGTCCTAAATTTTAATGTAACAGTTTCG